AGCTAGCTGCTCTAATTGGCAGTGTTTAAGTCAGCCAATTTTGAACTTTTCTTGGATTTAACTGATGTTTCTTGTTAAAAATCTCACCCCAGTTGGAAAAAAAAAGTTGAAAAAAACAGCAAAAATACAGAACACAACTAAGCCCTTGCTGTATTTTTGCAGCTTTCAGAGTGCAAACGAAAATCTGCATCAGATAGAAAAGCACTGTTAAACCAGTCTAAAGCTAGCAAAGCTTATACCAGCCTCTGTGGCTAATGGTGCATGAAAGTGATTGTTTTGAAAATAACTGTGTCGGTTTAAAATATTATTGCCTGTCTCCCAGAGGATACCACCCACATAGTGGAGTCAGCAGACTGAGAACACAGGTAACTAAGCTGCTTCAGGATAAACCCCAGTGTCTAAAGCATAAAATGCAAAGGGGGGGGTGGGGACAGCTTGAATTAAGCTTTTGGACTTTGCCCTGAAACAGCTCAGAGGCAATTGTGCCTAATTCTGCCACCAGAGCTGGGGCAGGCATTTTTGACAGGCATAAAGAGCTGGGGCCAGTAGCATCTCAAATAGCCACAGCTGCCATCTCACTGAGAGTCTGTGATGACTTTTACCTTCTCTTTTTTGGTACAGGTTCACAGCATTTGGGCAAATGGTGAGGTCTTAACCACATAGCTAATAAAACATGCTGTGTGAGGAATTTCAGATTTATTTCCAAATATTGTACATGATGTAACCAAATCTGAAGGGAACATTAAGCTCATGTTTTCTGTCTCAGTCTGCTCTGAATTTTGCCTATAGCATAATTAACTCTTAAGTGACAGGAATGATTTGTCTATGGGGAGAAGGCTTCACTTTTTTGAACACACATATCCTGTATTTCTTTTCCCTTAATAAGAAATGTATAAGACATATAGTAGCATCCTTAATCCAGTAACATTTAAAAAAAAGACAAAATGCTTCAACGACTTCAGCCTTTTTTCTTCTGTAGCTCTTCAAAATTTTTCTGCTCTATGTTAACACTGATACTGTGATCTGACCAAAGAAGCCCTTATCACGCTTTCTTTTTAAACACAGGATTTGCTTTTGTAGCATTGTATGTCTGGACACATACTTCCTAATATAAAACTGTTTGTAAACCAGGCTGAAATGTTATTTTAGGCAAGCCAGCATATAGCTCCTACACACAGCAACAGACTACTTTTGGTTTTGATACTCACTGTGCTATTGTTTGTAAAGCTTTGGATTTTGGCTTGAAATCCAGGCCACCCGGAATTTAACAGCAAAACTTTCACTGAGTTCAGTCTGATCTGGATTTCAACTTCAATGCCTAATGTTGCTAATGTGGGATGTGGTAAACTTGATCATCGAGTTTTTTATGGCCACAACAGATGTTCCTTCTCTTAGACCAATGGAAAGCTAGCAAGCCTCATCCACCCTCTAAAACAAAAATAAAAGCATTTGTTTACAGCTTGATTCCAGGAATATGAATTGAATTAGCAGCTGTGAGGTTTGTTCCTGTTTATTTACGAATAAATATATGCACAATTCTTGCTTTTCCCAAAGACTCACGATGTTGCCTGGATTGTATTTCCTCTATATAGTAACAGCATTTTAAGCAGTCTTAAAACTGCATTATAATTTGTTTAGCACAATCAAAACATCAGCATAGTATTTTTGACCTAGCTTTTAAAACATGCATTTTTTTCATGACCCAGGCACGACCTATAGAAAATGAATGTACTGCATATAAATGTTTTCTTACTCCTGATGACATGAAATGAATTTTCAAAGGGCATAAAAGGTTGAAAGACTGGTGCCTTCTCCTAAAGTGAGAGAAAAAAACATGATAGTGTAATAACTGAGAACTGAAGCTTAAGGAGCAAGAAAATTATTGTTAATTTAATACATACCATCCCATCTCTGGGGTAAATATCCAGTCGTTCTTCCATACAACAGTACATACTGAGGAGGAGACAGAATAGGAACAAGATTAGAAAGGCAAGGGCTCTTTATTAAAGGAATGGAAGCCTCATTTAGCATGCATCTGTTGCTTATAAACAAAAATACTTCACACCTTTTCCTTTGCCTTTCCTAAACTGGTCTGATTTCAGGAGTCACAGCACTGCTTTTATTGTGACAAAGAAAAAAATTCTTGCAGCCTTGCTTAGTCTTCAACTTATGTCAGTATGTTCCCTTGCTTTGCTCACAGTAAGACCCCCACTCTGCTTTAATACCTGCAGCAGCTGTAAATGTTTGTTTGCTCACTGCTTCCACACACCCAGTCTCACAACACCCTCCTTGCCCTGGCTCTTCATGGAACCTTTGCCCGATTTAACTCGCTAAAACAGCAGGCCCTTACCCAACTTTTTGGATAAGCTATTTTTGTGCCACTTTAATGAACTGCATAAGCTCCAGTAAAGGTCCAACAAATACCAAAGGCTGAATAGCAAGTAGGATAAATTTTTTTGCTGGGAGAGGGAAAATCATGGTGGAACTGGGAACTTTTGGAAGCAGAAACCTACTGTGTGTCTTGTGAAACCATATTTAGCTGAAAAATAACCATTTTTCTTTTCTAAGCTTATTTTTACTGACTGAAGTAGCTCACTGAAGGCAAGATGGTTGCCAGACCCTCAGAAGAGAAGCAACAGCCAGAGCACATGCCAGGAAGTATGGAGGGAGGTTCTCCCAGTCAGCAAGACCCTCTAAAGGAACCACACTTACAGGCTGTGCACAGAGTGTTCAAATTGTCTGTGACTGTGAATAGGAAAATGCAAAACAATATACCCATTATTATGTTAACTGATGTTAGTGCTAATTATGATACATATTACCAGCAAACATGCAAGTTGAAACTCTCAAGCTGGCATAAACATCTCTAATGCTTAAATTTATAAAATTATTGGATATCTTACTGCTGCATGCTTCACAAATCCTCATGGCAGACAAAGAGGATTCCAAGGATATTCTAAAGTGGTCACATTAAGTAAATCAACCCTCTCATTATCTGAGAAGTCTCAGCTGGAAAAGAAAACAGCAAGCTGGGAGCAGATAACATAATCCCTAAAAGTAATTTAGCTGCTCCCCGTGAGTGGCAAATTTTCCTGGATGAGCCAGAGCTAAGTTTGTCCCACTTTCAGATGCTGACATTCCTGTGCACTCCATGCTCCTTCTTCAGCCTTCCAAACAAGCAGCTGGGTTGTTTGGAGGCAGCTGCCACTGTGCAATTTGCTCTGTCGCCAAGCCTCGCCATTCCTGTTAGTTGTGGCTCGACATCCTCAGTTGTAATGCCAACACAGCCTAAGCCAGCCTTAGACTAGAACAAGGGCTTTGCCCTTTGTTTCACTGCACCCTGGCCATGCACTGTAATATCCTCTGCAGCACGCTGTGCTGACTGTTCTCACCTGGCCCCCATTTCAGTGATCCGGCAGAAAATAACTCAGCCAAAAAGCCCCTTGGTTTTCAATTCTGTAATCACAGGCTGCATCATATGGGGCATTCTCAGAACCAGGTGGAGGAGAGACTGCACAAAACGTACAGGAGAGGTAGGAGCAAGGAGGAAAAGAAAATAAGCTTTAGGGAGACTGGGGCAGGAAACAAGTGGAGAGGTGAACTGGGCTGGCTGGGCAACAAACTGGGATTGCAAAGACAGAAAGTTGTGAGAAACAGACTGGTGCCTAGTGGAGGCAGAGAACATAGCTATGAAGAGGGAACAGGACAGGAGAATTAGGATCAATTAGGTGAGGAAAATAGGACTGTGAACACTGGTTTGGAGCCTGGTGGAGCAAAGTAGTACTTTTTGGGATGATGCTGAGTAGTGAAGACTAGAACTGGTTGGATGTGGTAAGTGGGGCTGTTCCAAGCACCCAAGGAAAGGGCAAAGACAGACTGGGAGGGCATTAGTGGAAGGAGGTGATGGGTGGGGAAGCAGGGGCAAAAGAGAGTCCTGTAGGGTTTGGGTATCAATAGGAAAAGGACCTTGCTCATCTTCTGTGGAGAGGGGAAACCTGCAGTTCAGCACACCAGAGCACCTCTACAGGTGACAGAAAAGTTGTGGGGAAAGGGTACAGTGGATAAATCATGTCGAAAATGAACAAAAAGGGAATTTCTGGTAATTAAATGGATACCACCAGAAATTTGTCATTTTGTTTCTGTTGACTTCAACTTTTGTCAGGTATGGGTTGGTTCAGTAGGCACGGTCCCTGCTATATGGTTTGTATCTAAAATCTCCCAGTGAGCACTTCACACCCATTCCAGCTTCTGAAAAACCACTGTTAGCGCTATGTGCACACAGGGTTTTAAACAAATGCCATGTCACACAACACACTACCGACGGGACTGGGAGGTGAATGGGAAGCTGGGAGGAGACACAGCCGGGACAGGTGACCCTAACTGATGAAAGGGATATTCCAGACTATGGGACATCATGCTCAGTATATAAAGTGGGGGAACATTTGCAGTGATGATGTTTGTCTTCCCAAGTCAGCGTTACATGGGATGGGCCCTGCTCTCCTGGGGATGGCTGAACACCTGCCTGCCCATGGGAAGCAGTGAATTCATTCCTTATTTTGTTTTGCTTGTGCGCATGGCTTTTGCTTTTCCGAGTAAACCGCCTTTATCCCAACCCGCGAGTTTTCTAGGTTTTACCCTTCCGATTCTGCCCCGGTCCTGCTGGTGGGGGAGTGAGCGAGGGGCTGTGCGGGCTCGGCTGCCGGCTGGGGTTAAACCAGAACACACCGGGACCTAAACCAGGGAACGCGGCGGGCTCCAGCACCGAGCAGCGCCCGCCTCGGGATACGGGCGGGCCCGCCAAACTCCGGGGGCGCCGCGCTAGGCGCGCTGGGGCGGCGAGTTCTGGCCGGGCGCAGCCTGCGGGCCGGCACAGCGTGACGGACTACACTTCCCAGCGCACCCCGCGGCGCGGCGGAGGCGATAAAACGAGGCGGCCGCGCCGGCCTCCCGCCGGAGGGCAGGGGTAGGCGGGTGTGGTGTCGGCTGCGGTACCGCGGCAGGTGCTCCGCCAGGTGCTCATGGAGCCGCAGGGCGGCCTCGCCGCGCTGGAGGCGCTGAAGCAGCGGGCGTGCGAGAGCGTGGATCTGAACGCGGCGCGTCTGGGCGCGCTGAGCCGCGACATCTGGAGCCGCCCCGAGCTGGCGTACGCGGAGCACCAGGCGCACGACACCCTGACCCGCTTTTTCTGCGGCGGGGACCTGCCCGGCGCCGCCTGGGCCGTGCAGCCGCGCTACAAGCTGGGCACGGCGTTCCGCGCCGACTGGGGCGCGGCCGCCCCGCAGGGCCCGCGGGACCCGCTCCGCATCGCCTTCCTGTGCGAGTACGACGCGCTGCCCGGGCTCGGGCACGCCTGCGGGCACAACCTCATCGCCGAGGTGGGAGCCGGCGCCGCGCTGGCGCTGAAGGCCGCCCTGGAGAGCCTGGCGGAGCCCGCGCCCGTGCAGGTGGGAGCCTTCCCGATGGAGGCGGCGGAGTCCCCCTTCTGGCTGCCCCTGACCCTCTGTGTGCGTCTGTGCTGCAGGTCACGGTGCTGGGGACGCCCGCGGAGGAGCAGGGAGGAGGCAAAATCGACTTGATAAAGGCTGGAGCGTTCGATGGCCTGGATGTGGTTTTCATGGCGCACCCCTCGCAGGAAAACGCGGCTTACCTGCCCGATGTGGCTGAGCACGAGTGAGTGAGTGGGGTCAGGTGGAAAGAGGTGGTTTGTTATTAGCCCTTCGTGCCCTCCCTCAGTAGAACGCCTGCTTTGGTAGTGTCTGAACACGGGGACCTTGCAGATGCCCTTCAGACAAAGTATTTGCAGTCAGCTAAGGAGCCAGGTCACTGGTACTGAGTGGCACTCTGAGCCGCTCTTCTAAAGTGCAGTGTTCAGCACAGTGCCAAAACCCCTGACTGCTCTGGGATAATCTTGCATGTGTGTCCCCAAAATCGATTCTGTGTTCTGGTGTTTCTTAGCGTTTCCTTTTAAACATCCATGTGATTATCCCATCAGTTAAAATAAAAATAGAATTTGAAGGTGCAACTGGAGGGTCTCAAGAATCATAGTTCCATGCTTTCCTAGTGCCAGATCATGTAATCCTCTGCATTTTAATCATTTTGGAAAGTGTTTCAGGTTTGCTCTCCTGCTTTTGAAAAGATCTGACCAGCTAAGCTTGACTGCAGTTTGAATCCATATTAACTTCCACCCTAAATTGGAAGGGTCATGGCCATGTTGTGTGTATTAACTCTCGCATCGACTTTTTTTTTTGATCCACAGTAGTTCTTGGCTTTCCTGGGCCTCAGTTTACATCAAGACAGCAGTCCTACCCTGACACAGCTGCCTTTTTTGCCAGCTAGCCGTATAACTCTTTGGAAATTATGTCTTGTCTTCTTTTTAGTGACAGCACTTGCTCGTTTGTACTCGGAGTCACTTGTCTTGTGTTGAAGTACACCTTGCTGGGTGTGCATACCTAGAATTGTACACAGTACATGAGATGCAGTTTCCTTAGACCTTACTCAGCTGATGCAGGCACCATAGTGTTTCCTTGTATTTTTGGAGATAGCTGGCATGTTTGGGATTTCCTGCTCAGTCGTTTTCAAGCAATCAACTCTTATACAAACGCTTAGTCTTTAAATATGTGATTTTTTAAAAAATACTTTCGAGCGTCATCCTTTTCTTGCTCTGCCAGCTGTAAGGCCATGCTCTTCTTCTTTTGCTCTTATAAGCTTTTTTCTCCATGGTGTCCCAGCAATGCGTATCGGCAGGTTTTGTTACTACGTTTTATGTCACTGCTACTAATGATTCTTGATCCTAGGATCTTTCCTTGCAGAGACCCCACTGGTAACCTCCCTCCAATGCAACAGGTTTTTCAAGTATTACTTTTCAAGTCTCTGACTACATTCTGTAATATTTAAATAACTGCTTTTCTTGTAATTTCTGACTTGATGTACTGAGAACTGTTTTCAGCTTGCTTGTGCTACCATCCCGCTCCGATGTTCTTGGGCATTTTCCTTTTGTCAGAGCTCTTTCCAGTGGATAATTTGCTTCTGTTACTGCCAGATTTTATGGCAAAAAAGACAAGGTTAGCAACACCTAGTCTTTATTATGTGGCCAGCTCTCTGCTATATTCCTTTATTGTGTTTCCATAATCTCCTTCAAGACTTGGCCCAGCTTGCCTTTTCGTTGCTGTACCTTAAGATTGAATTTATAATGTTCAAGATTCAGTTTTCATTGGTAGTTTTGCTTTTCTGCTTGCGGTAGGTAGCCTTTTGAGTTTCATACAGTAAGATTTGGAAGCCTCTCTTCAGAGGTGATGGTCTGCTGTAGGATGCAAGTCCCAGATAGCCTTTAAACCATGGAGGAGGCACGAAATTGAAGTTCTGAGTGAAATAACTTACTATCTTCAAAACCTTAAAATACTCAGTTTGTGTCATGTTTTATGTAATGATGAGATTCCAGAGGTACAAAGACAGTTTTGCCAGTTCATATTTATCTTGGATTGTTCCCAAGGAGTTTAAGGACAGGTGATCACTGAATTGCTAGTGTAACTGTATCTGCAACTGTGAAAGCTGGCTTGTGCCCGAAGTGAGATTAGCATAGTGGGATAACTGGTGAACACATTCCAAAGTTTGCTGATTCTTATTCACTTATCCTTCACTTAATCAGCCTATTGTTGGTCAAACAGGATCTACATTCTTCTGCTGGTATTCTTAAACTGGCTTAGGGTGTTGTTACTCTGCAAAATCTCTTGGGTTTTTCTGAGACTCTGTGACATTAACGTAGCAGTAGAAGTACAAGAAAAGGAATGCTGAAAGAACTTTTTTTTTGATAAGAAACACATGTTTCTTGTGGAAAAAAAAATATTGCAACATGACATTCTGCTGTATTTCGCTTTCTTCCCATTTTTTGGAGAATGTCGAGGGATCTTTGTGGATTGTTTTGAGGGGTTGCAGCCTAATACTTGTGATGTTAACGGATAAGTTTTTTTATATTGATTTCTTAGTGATAATAAATTTTAAAAAGATTAAAATAAATTAAATAAAACTCATACTTTAGAGAAAGGGATCTATGGTTGTCTTCGAGGATGAAGGAGGATGGAAAAGGGCGTACTTTGTTTGAGTTGCTCCAGTAGTAGTAGATATTTCCTGCTGCAACAGTGCACTCCATTGTGGCCCCTCTTTGCTATCAAGTATTTAAGTACTCATATTAACTTACAGCTGTGTCGTGGTTCCGAGCATGAGGGGTCAGTTGAGGATAACTGGTTAAGTTGGAATTCGTGCAACAGAGGAACAAGCAAGTTACCGTGGCTGAGCAAGAGGCAGGTTGTGCGTGCCAGGGTGGAGGGGAGCCTTTGAGCTCGAAGATAGGAGTTTTTTGTGTAAAGGAGTGGGTATGGAGTACAAACTGATTGAGTTAAAATCTCTACTATTCGTAAAATAATATTTGTGTATTTTATAATAGTAAGACCTTATGTAGTTGTCAGTATTTAGTATTTTTCTTTTGTGTAAAGAGTTTTCATATAATCCAAAGTGTTATTTTGTAAGGCTAATAAAAATAGCCCTCAGATGAAGCAAAACATGAATTCTTACTGGATGTGTTTAGGTGACTTCTATGAAATTGGAGGATAACCCTTGCACTAGATTTCCTCCTTGTTGCAAGCCTTTCTACCACCTTTTTTGAGGTGTGCAGGAGAAGAACATCCTTGCTGTAGCATAATAATGTGTATTTAATGCTAGGCTATGCCATTACTATACTTGTAGAACTCGGCTTTTGGTAGTTAGACATGGGTTGTGTGTGATCTTACGTGCTTTTGCTGCCTTACTGTACACGTTTTATTTGACTATAATTAGGACAGTCAGCTTCTAATTTTGAGTCAGAGAAAAGGGTTTGTTGTTCTCTGAGAAGAGTGTTAGTAACTTTAAGTCTCAGAACAGTCAGGCAATGTAAAAAAAATTGGAGAAATGTAATTAATATATGTACCTATACTCTTCAGGAAAAGGCTGTGTAGTGGTATGTTACCAGTAGCATTCTTGCCTGACTGGCTCTTGACATCATTCTATTTTATTGGTTTTCTAGAAATCTTTCAGCATTTTTCTGCACTCAGAGAGAGTTTAACTACGCAACAGTCTAGTGCCAGGTAAATTGTTTGGTGTTCTGCTGCACAAAACATAAGTTTGGTGTGAACAAAAGGAACCTTTTTCTTTTAGGGTTTTTTTTTTCAGTGAACAAAAAACAAATAAGCAATGCCTTTTGTTTCCTAGTGTGACTGTGAAATACTATGGGAAAGCTTCTCATGCTGCTGCTTATCCTTGGGAAGGAGTTAATGCATTAGATGCTGCTGTTCTTGCGTACAACAATCTGTCTGTTTTAAGACAGCAAATGAAACCAACCTGGAGAGTTCATGGTGAGATCATCTTTAAATCTAATGTCCAGCAAGTAAGAGTTTAGGCTGTTGAAGTACTAACTTAGGATATCACATATTTCAAAGTATTGCATTAATGCCCTAAATTAGTATAGTCACTTCAAATATTATGAAATAACACCATTTCATTTAAATGGTATGTCGGTGTTCAGAACTAACTGCTGAAAATATGCTCATAGATCAGATTCAAAAGAGGACTCTGGTACCTAGGTAGAGGCAAGACAAATTTTGAGTCTTTGCACTTGGAGTTGCAGTTTAGAGAGGAAGAAAAAAGTGCCAAGTTTATTTTGGTACATGGCCTTGAATCCTTAATCTATTTGTTTTTGCAAAGGTGTAAGATTAAACATTTCTAAAAAGTGAAGTATTACTGCATCACTTTTTATAATAGGTATTCCATTAGTTAGATGGCATTTATGGGAAAGGTGTAGTGGTCTGGAGTGAAGTTCATTTGCTGAAGTACAAAAAACAAGTGATGGCGCAAGCTTATAGCTCTGGTTAGTAGCCCAATTTACTAGATGTTGACTGGATTCTAATATTTAATATCTAGTAGGTTTTGGATTAGAAAGGTCATTTTGCACTGACCTTGACTTGTTCTCCCTCAGTGTCATGTATCATCATCATCAAAAGTTTCATTTGAGGTGAAGCTACCCTTTAGCTATAAACCCAGGTTTCCTTATTACACCCAACACAACTTTTTCCAAGTTGAAATTAATACACTTTACCAATTCTACAAGACTTCTGAATGTAGAGCTGTTTATAAGCTTAAAACCCTTCCAAAAGTTCTGAGCTAACTATTGCATGTCTTGGTTGCTTGTGCTGTATGTAATACAAGTGTGTATTTCTCTCCAGGATATCTAGATAGAGTCCTAATCATTTTGGCTCTAGATGAAGCTGTTTGCAGTTGTGCTGTGCAGCATACCCAGAAGAATTTCAGACAGTAGGCATAGCCTCTCCATGCTATTGCTCTGTAGGAAACAAGGCACATAACTATGAGTTTTGGTGTCTGAAATGCATGTGTTGCAGGTTTAAGCTTGGAGGTGCCTAAGTCTTCTGTTGAATCTAAACCTAAACCCCTAAGTACTGCTTTCTTCATAGTTCCTAAAGGCTGCATGGGTAATGTTGGCAAAAAAACTAAGTATCCAAACAAGCTTCCTACAGATAATACTTCCTGAACGACAGCAAAACTGAAATTACTGTGTCGATAAAACTGCTGTCATAAACCTGGCTTTCAAATTGGAAATATTTAAAATACTTCAGGGAAAGTATAAGCACACAGAATGAGATTTAATTTTAGGAATGCTTTCTTTACAACAGTGTGTTGGAGGTCTTGTGTTGCAGACTTGCAGTATAACCAGTGGCTAAATTAAGTGATCCTAAAAATTGTAGTGTTAACCCACTAACAAAAGCTAATTTCCCTTGTTTGAAGTCTAGGATTTCTAACTAATGTTCCATGTACTGAAATACTGTTGGTTTGAGTTCCTCTGAGATTTTGATATTACCTTTCTTCCCTGCTTATGAGTGGAGTAAATGTTGCCTTCTTGAAAAACAGGAATGTAGAGTTTTTTCCTGTTCAAAAAGTTGTATACTAAACAGGTTGTAAAAAAGCCCAAGGTTTCCCTCCAGAAGGGCAAATTGGCTGCTGCTTGTACTGTTTAGGCAGCCTACTTTTAATCTAGGTCTGCTGTACAGTCCATATTGCAGTTGCTTTGAAATTTAACTGTAGACAGACTCAGACTCTATCCAGTTCCATTTACGAATGTGCTGGACTAGACAGATGAAAGTTGTTTACTCATGAAGCTACTTGTTTTGAGAAAGCCTATTACGGTATGTGTCATGAAAATTTGCACGATTACTTACTCACTGGTTCCTTTCCTGTGATGTCTGTCCCTCTCATCTGAGCTGTTCCTTTTGTTATAGACAAATACTGAATTAATTCAGCACTTTGTTTTTTATTTTGACTGTATTTGAGACTGGAAAGGTTTTTCCTGAGGTGGAGCTCACAAGAGGTTTTCAGCACCAAAAGTAAAGTTTTGTTGCCCACTTGCATCCTGGTAGTGTTGTCTCTTCAGGCCTCAGTGCCACACATCAGTACATTCCAGCAGTATTTCCACTTAAGGTAGAGAGTTTCTCAGGTTCTGCAGAAAACAGATCTTCTCCCACATACATGAACTGATGGTAGGAGGCCAGAGAAGCAGCCTGTTGAAAGCACCTAGCTGTCAATGCCTTAAAATCTAATGTAGAATCGGGCTCTATAGTGTTTTATTGTTGAAATATCTAAATATTATTGTCTTTTATGGTAATACCTGTGATGCTGCAATTAAAAAATATGTAGTTATCACACATTTCCTTGAGGGAGCACTTTCAACTCAAACTGTACTTGTGAACAAAAATACATATATTATACATTCCCGTATTTCGGAAGAATTACTATGAGGCATCTAATGAACTTTCTGTGCACTGCAACACACTTTACTCTAGTACTGCTGAGAAATGCAACTTAATTTTTCTCCAAGCTCACAAAGTAAGTTGGAAGTGTTCTAGCTGAGGAAATGTTTAGAAGTTGGAATCCAAGTTAGCCTTTATAGCAATTTTTTTCTTACTGGCAGCTGGATTGGTTTAGGACTCTGATGAATTGAATTTCAGGGGATTAATTAGAAATGCTAGTTTGGCTTGTTGCCAGATTTATAACAGATGTCTAACCAAAGAATGCAGTGAAATTGTGCTGAAAAACACGTATGTGTTCCACCTAATCTGATGTGATGAAGAAACTTTGTCCCATAGTGTAATTCTCTGTATTTCATGGTCATCTGATGTTTCATTCTTTTCCTTTCAACCAAGGAGTTTCATGACAGGGCGGAAGGTCAAGTTATTGCATTTAACACTGATAACACAACTTTTCCCTTTCTGCAGGTGTAATAAAAAATGGTGGTGTGAAACCTAACATCATTCCTTCTTACACTGAGCTGGAGTTTTACCTGCGTGCACCTTCAATGAAAGAACTTTCTGTTCTGACAGAGAAGGTTGAGAACTGCTTCAAATCTGCAGCACTGGCCACAGGATGCGAAGTAAGAATATATTAATTGTCTTGTGTTTCTATTACACAGAGCAGAATAGGAATTGAAGCTTGCATTATTTGTCTGCATGATGTTTAGCCAAAGTAAATCTAAATTACTGTGATACTGTTTGCTGTTCTGTTGCTTTGTGTCATGAAAGCAAGCTTTGATTTATAAACAGAATGCTGCAGAATCCTAGAAGAATCTCAGTTGGGAGAGACCTCCAGAGGTCTTTTGGTCTAATCCTATGTTCAGAGCAGATTGCTGAGTGCCATGTGGACTTCTGAGTACTTCCAAAGCTGCAATTCCGCAACCTCTCTCAGCAGGTGAGGTTCACCTCATGGTGAACAAGGGTTTTCCTAGTGTTTATGCTGTGACAAGCACTAGCACAAGTTACCTGGAGAGACTGTGGTGTTTCCATCCTTGGAGATATTCAAATTCTGCTTTGATGTGGTTCTGGACAACCAGCTCTAGGTGACTCTGATTGAGCAGGGGAATTGGGCAAGATGATCTCCATAGGTGCGTTCCAGCATCAACCATTCTGCGATTCTGTTGCATCTAATGGGGATTCCCTTTGTTGCCTCTTGGCACATCACTTTGACCTCAAGAAGTCTGGTTCTGTCTTCTCTGTACCATCCCCATGTGATAACTGTGGACAGCAATAAGATGTCCCACTAACCTGCTGTTCTGAAGGCTCAACAAATCTAGTTCTTTCAGCCTGTCCTTGTAGGTCATGTTCTCCACCCTAATCATCTTGATGGCCTTCTGCTGGCCTAGCTCTCACATAGCTCCAGTCTTGACTGGAGGAGCACAAATGAACGTAGCACCAGATGTGGTCTCACAGGAGTTGTCTACATCAAATAATAGAAATATTGAAACAGTAAGGGCACCAGTATTGGTTACAGATGACTGCTAAGGTAACAGGCAGCGATGTGGATTTTTGTGCCACTGATTATAACATGGAGTTTGCGTGTCTCGTGTCGCCTGAGCCAGACGTGTTGTCATGAAAAGCTAAGCTTGGTCATGCACTGTTTGCTCTTCCATGAGTGTATGCATGATCGCCTTGTGATTCATGAGCCTGGATGTGGGTCTTAGGAGGATTTATTTGGTCTGTAATCCCTCTGGGAACTTGAGGATAGGGCAGTCTGACCAATCTGTAATTTTCAAGATCCTCCTCTTGACCCTTCAAGGTGGATATGACCTTTAGCTCTTTTTCAGTGAGCTGGAGAATTCCTCTGTTTCAATGGCACTTAGAAAGCGATAGCTCCCAGATTGCATTTCTGCTTCCGTCTTACTCTGCGTCCTTGGATGCATCCTTCCTAATCCCATGTACATACGATTTCCTTAAGTGCCCCACAGGTTTTTTTTTGTTTTGCTGTGGGTGATGTTTCTATCCTACAGGCAGTGCTGCCAGGTTCAGAGACCTGGGAGGCTTGATGGCAAACCTTACTGGTAGGGACAAGCAAAACAGGTATTGGGTGTTTTGTCTTTTTTTCTTCTTTGCCATTTTCTTTGTCACTAGATCCTTTGCCCCATTGAACAGCAGGCTCACGTAGCAATCAAATGCGAAAAATTGAGTGATTTTTTTCAGTTAGCATTCCCACTTTTTTTTTTTGCTTTTAGTAAATGGAGATATGTCTCCTCTAGCTGGTTATGACGTCCTTGCATTGTATTGCTAAGGTGAGTGGTTTTACCTAGTCTGTAGTTACAACTTTATGACTAATAGAGCTATGAAAAGAACATATGTGCTCATCAAAACAAATAGATATGGTGTATGTGAATGTGAGTTTGTCGGTGTTATAGTCTATTTGAGGCATTAGATGCTGTTTTCCTACTGTGCCTTCTCACTCTGTTTAGGAAAGGGTTTCAGAAAGTGTACTTTATGCAGAATGAAAGTTAAAATCTCTTGAAATTTGACATTGATAGTTTTTTTCCCCATTTGTTTTCAAACTTCTCGCCTGCGTGAAGTCACTTCATCAACGTGGCTGTAGTTATTGGAAGTGTGCTAAACAAAGGTAAAATAGAATTTGGTAAAAGCCTAAATTGATTTCTGTGTAGTTTAATAGTGCCTGCAGTAGGAATCATTAGACACTGTTACAGGAAATGCTTGTTTCCTATTTTTGGAGAAAATTGTGACATCCTTGCTTCTGGAATTTGACTGTCTAGTGCAAGCTGAACAGAATGCCAGCTGTGTTTTGATCAAGGGTAATATTTGGCAGAATGTTGTATTTTTGAAAGGAACTTAGCATTTATGTCTGTTCTGCCTTGGGCTTGATGTATGGTTACGTAGGGTTTTTTTCTTGCCTTTAGATTGTTTACACTGAACTGGCTTATGTTGGAGAAAAATTAATTTGTTTTTTTTTTTTTGTTTAGGTGGAAATAAAAGGTGGTGAAAATGATTACTACAACGTGCTTCCAAATAAGAGCCTCCAGCATATTTACAAGGAGAATGGAAAGAAGCTTGGAATAGAATTTATATCAGAAGATGCTATCTTGAATGGTTTGTCAGGTAACTCCGTCTGTGTTTTTTATTATGACTGAAGCTTAGGTTGATCAACCCTAGAGTGTGTAAAGCAACGAAATAGAGCTAGGTTAAACACAGTTTGGTCAGGAGAAAAAGCCAAATTACAAAAGTGAAGTTCTGTAAAAGGTTTGTATCTCTGGCCTGTGTTTTTTGTATTTGTTGTAGAAGCTGAGAACAGGTAAGAAAAGCATTAATCATTTTCTGATAATAGTTCTGAAAATATTTCCAGTAGTAATCAGTTTGGTTGGGGGAAAGGTTGGAGAGCTAAGAACTGTCTTACTGAGAACATGAGATTGTGTAATGAATTGTGTTTCATTCTGTGGCTTTGAAATACAGAATCCTTGTTTCCTGCGCATGGGGATGAGACTTCATTTCTAGGAACCTTGTTTTATAGTATTTTACAAGCTTACATGTAAACAAATCTAATAGAATGTAACAAATATTTCAGAGGGAATCTTTTGAGGGATTTATAAATGGAAGTTTAAGCATCTCACCATAATTTAATCTTTTCATTAACAGGTCTCTAATTTTAGTTCGTGAGTTCAACAGATTAGTTTTCCAAAGGGTGCTGTTCAAGTAGGTGTTTACTTTTGGGTCTTGACTGTGTCTCAAATGATTGAACTTTCTTGGTCTCAGAGCTGTAACAGGAATGGGAATGCTTGGGTGGATTTCTCATTATACTTAACAGGGTTTTTTTTCCACAGTGTTCAGCAGGAGCTCTGTTCAAGTCTTAACTGTTGCTCATACTTTTAGCCTTCACTACTCACCATAACTCTGTGTATGGACATTTTTACTCCACTTATGCTAATGGCTTTTCTCTTAGAAAGAAAATACTTTTCTTGGTAAAAAGTTACTCTAATTAGTTTGACTGTGGTATTTATCTTCTCTATATTAAATGCAGATTATATTTGGAGTTTGGATAACCTTGGTGTTTAGGAAAAGATCTTTCCAGACATTTCTGGGGGGGACATGAGAGATGTCCCATGGCATTGTGGAGGGTTTTTTTCTGCTTCTTACTTCTCTTTCAAATTAATCATATTTTTTTCAACTGGTTCATTGTCTTGTGTTTAAAAACAAATTATAACTAAAGGCAGATTTCTTTTTTTTTTTTTTTTTGATGCAGTACAAATAAGATTTTATTGCTTTGCTGGTTTAGCCAAAGAAAGGGGCTGAGGAAACTTAGAATGTTTACTGTAGTGCAGCTTTCTGGAGATCTGCTAGTTGCTTCTTTTAAACCCTTGTATTAAGAGTGATGTGAATATTGAGGATCTTGCTTTTGTTCAGAGGACTCCAAGTAAACTTAGCACAGACACCCACTTGTAATGGGGCTTTCATGTGTAAGTTACATGATTTGCTAAATGTTAACCATTGACTTGCTTAGACCAGAACTTCCCATATGCCTGTTCCGTCCTTGAATTGCTTGTCAAATGTCAAAATGTGCTTGAGCAATTGTGTTTTTATCTTGCAATGCAGTAGGTTTTACTGAATTTTCTTTCCACAGCTTCTCTGAATTTTTTGCAGTGGGAATTCAGGAGTGATACAAAGCACAATCTCCAGTGCCATAGGAGGGGAACTTTGTATGCTACCCTTTTTTTGGGGAGGGGGTGTTGAGTGTTTTGTGTCATCTTTTTCAAGACCTCTATTTCTGTTTAGTTTTCATACGGTTTTCAATGTTTTCTTTTAGGATATCAGTTTCTTCTGTTGAAAGGGAAGGAAGATAGCTCAGTTGCTTCTCCATGTCTGTGCAGCAGAAAAGTCGTAAACAGATGAGCAAACTCGCTGCCACCTCTACATGGGTATTGGTATCGGTCTGCTCACAGGTATCGCTCTAGGCAGCTAAGTGTTGCAAAGAGTCTCTTGAGCACATCAAATCACACTGCTCCGAGTGTGCCTTGTGCCCGCTCCGCTCACTGGGCACACAGCCAGGGTGACATAAATAACGTGAAACTGAGTTAGTTTGGACCAGGTGCCATGACCTGTTTCTCCTCCTACCGGCGGTAGGGCAGCTTTACTAGGGGATGCAAATAACCTCCCAAAGAAGATGGCTTAGTTGAGCAAGCCTTAGATGAGGTACCCACACTTGTGATAACTGATGTTTTTAGCATTCATGGGGTTCATTGGCTCCCTGTGCACGAGACCGACACAGGCAATATTAAGAAGGAGCCAGTATGCTTTGAAAATGCCGCTCTTGAAGGTTGGGACTGTATATAAGTGTTTCCTGGAATCTTTTGTATTTTCCCCTCCATTCATGTTTGTGGTAATGCTGACTTCTATTAAATAAATATTCAGTGACTTGAAGAGGCTTCGGTATCAGCGTCAGGATATGTTTTTGAGTGGATGAAGGTCCCAATACCTCCCTGTTGAAGATAGTGCAGAATTCTGTATATTGCAGCTGCAGTTATTTATACTTCTAGAAGGAATCTTGATCTGTATGTGTCTGGCAAGCATACAGTTTCAGATGTTTGTGTGGAAGCCATTGGAACACCTGATGTTGTGAACATGCATCTAGGTTATTACCACTAAAGGACATTTTTTCTGTCAGAGAATTTGACTGTCACATTTTTATTAGAAGCTGCCTGGATTTTGGCTCTCCATATTACTAGAAAATTCCCAGTTTAAATCCCTCTATTCAGCAAAAATAATTTGTAAACTGGAATTTTATGTGACTGAGAGCTGTGATGCACTGACATTTCTGATGTTTCATTCACTAATTAGGAGCAGGGAAAAGGGCAGCACAGTCTTTCCAGTAGTTCATGTATTAGGACTTAGTAAGGCAAGTCTAAAACTCTTGGTTTAGCCTGGAGTATGCAGAACTTCTGGACTTCTGGTTTGTCTATCCAGGTTGACCAAAGAGTGAATCAGGAGTGTAGACTACTGGAAATTCAAATAACTTGTTGCTGTGCCAAGACTTGGGTTTTCTTCGAATGCATAATGGATTTATCGGAAAAGATGTTTTTGGACAAGTCTTGCTTCTTCCATTGTCCGTAAGCAGAGCAAATAGCAAACTCTTGTCCTCATAATGTAGGCTCTGTGGACTCACTCTTAATAACTATATGCTTCCAAGTGAAATCTGTATTCTTTAATCATTTTATTATTAAATCTTAAGGCATTAGCAGTATCTTCTCTCCACAAAGTATCATGATGTGGAGGCTACCTGATACAAATAATTTTAAATCTTTGGAACGGTCATTTTGTAGTATAGAAACAAATTGCTATAGAAATAAATCCTTGCATCTCTGACCTGAAAATAGTTAGTTGAGAATCTTAATTATCATCCCAATTTTTCCCTGCTATGACTTCCTGTGATATCTGGATATCCCAATAACTAGTATGTTGATTTCTCCAGCTTCAAAATGTCATTTTAACAATAAATGAGTGGATTGCTTGTATGGGTAAAAAAAAAAGAAGGCACTTGGGATGTAGTTGTTGACTCTTGGATGATTTACTATGAAGGATCTACTACTCTGGAATGGTATCATTCAATAGATAAGGCAGTACTGTGAGATAGATCCTATCACTAGATAACATAATGAAAGTGCTAGTCAGACATGAAAGAATCATCATTAAAATCTGCAGCAGGGTTTTTTTTTTATATCTGAAAAGCACTAACATTTTGTCTGGAGTTTAGTTCTGATTTTATTTCGGGAGTGCTTGTGCTGTTAAGATTTCCATAACTGAGAAGAATCAAAGGGCATGGGGGGGAAAAACAGTTGTCCTCAGTCTAGTTTTGTTTAAAGATAGATTGTTTCTACTTCAGAGTCCTCTGTCTAATCCTGAATGTTTACATATTGGTGAGAATTGGGAAGTTCTGGGCCTAGTTTTAAGGGCTGTAACAGGAAAATTGCTGAACTGCCAGAAATGTCAGGGTTTGCAGCTTTCATTGTTTCATTGTTTTCATAATTAGCAGTTTACTATTGGGAGATGCTTGATAAAAAAATAACAGTAAAGGGATTAGGAACATGCTGATACATCTTCCTGGCAGTCTGGAACTGATCCTTGATCAGAAGCACACTGGAGAGCAATATCTGGAAATGACTAGTTAGGGAAAGCACCTTGGAGATGGGAGGTATTTATATGGATAATGACTCATTAGAAATGCTTTTATTTTGTTATTTGGGGCAAAGGATATTCTGTTTGAGATATGAGCAGGAGATAATGTCTTTCAGGCATTTTCTTAACAGCATTCAGAACTGTCCAACACTTGTTCATGAAGAAAAATCTCCATGCTCCTTCTAGGTTCCACAGACTTTGGAAATGTTACATTTGTGGTCCCTGGGCTTCATCCTTATTTTTATATTGGCTCTGATGCGTTGAATCATACTGAGCAGTACACAGAAGCTGCAGGTGAGTGAAAGTGAAAAAGGTTAAAGGTCTATAATTTTGAACGCTTATACATTGTAGAGGCTGCTTGCTGACTCTTCACTACAGCAAACCTAGAAATAGAGAATGTTTCAAATTACAGAGAATTAAATTTCCCATATGTTTCTGTGGTATTCAGAGGTACTGCGTATAATGTAGCTTTGTATGTATAGTGTTGAAAAGTGTAAATACTAGATATGAAATGGGCTGCATGTGTGAATACATTATAAAAATAAGGTTGCTTTTGTCAAGCATGATGGGATTTGAGCTGAATATGGAGCACGAAACTGTTTAACTACGTTAATAGTAGAGTTGCAGAAAAAGCTGACAAATGTAGAATTTCTGGGTTTGTGTCTAAAGTTAAACGTATGTGGGAAGGATGATCACTTCTCATATGAAAAACCTGACTTGGTATACCATCTAAACACAAGAAATTAGAGGGATTATCCCAAGCAGCATATTCAGAAGAATTTCTAAACATGAGCCAAAAGATAAAATTTTTACTCCTAGAGCACAGTGTTTGGAAACATAACAGTACTAGCTGGATAAAACTCCACATTGTCTAAAAAGCAAAATGTGAACACTCATTTTCCTGTTTTCAGTCTTAGTTGTTTATATCAGTATCAGAAAATTAAGTACTTGCATGTGAAAAGCTGTTTTGAGGCATGAGAAAATGGGCATATACTTCATACAAGTAGATTGTTAAGAAACTGTTCTTGCCATTGAAACTTTAAGTTCTTATTTTACAGACTATGCCCTTATGCAGTAAGCTAGTCGTTTAATATTAGTAATCTAACCTGAAATTCCTCTTACTTTGTTTTCTGCAGGGTCACAGACTGCTCAGTTCTATGCTTTGCGCACAGCAAAAGCTCTGGCAATGACAGCACTGGATGTTATTTTCAAGCCAGGGCTGTTAGAAGAAGTCAGGAAAGACTTTACAGAGATGATGCTAAAAGAAAAGGGGCAAATAAATCCAGAAGAACCTAAAAAGGAATCTGGTGTTGGTGTAGGAGCGTGTGCGTCACACTAAACTTCATCAAACCTCTCTCAGTAGGATTCAATTAATGGAGATGCTGTATTTAAATCCTAGTAGGGGCTGGATAAATGTATAGCTGAAGAAATGTTGATTTTTTAAATTTTTTTTTTTAACTTCAGGAAAAGCAAATAGTATTGCGTTCAAAAATGTGCGGTTTCATCTAGCTCTAATGTTTGTGTTCAATATGGTGATGAATTTCATAAAGAGATCCCAAGTATGTTGTCATTCATTTGCTGTGTTGAATGAATTATAGTGTTTAGATCCCTTGTTAGTGATTTTCTATGCATTGCTAAAGTAATATTCCTTACAGGGGTAATATGGGAGTTTTTCTAAAATAAGTACAGTTCATTCAGTAATCGTAGGCTGAATCTGATCTATGAAGCATTTTTCTCTCTGGTCAGTCACTTTTCTTGGCACAAAATGGGGACGTAAAACCTGAGCTGGTTTCACTGGAGAGAAGGGGCTGTGTTTGGAAACATGCCTAGTTATGACAATAATGACTTCTAGCAATGGAAGAGAACTGTTTGTATGGAGATGCAATCTGTGAAGCTTGATCTTCCCGAAATGCATTGGTCTTCCTCCTAATAAGTTTTGGAGGTGTTGTGGAGAAGTCATGAATCACAAAATTGGAAAGCAACTGAACGTTTATTTGTTTAACACACTGAAACTACTGCAGGAAAAATTCTGCTCTAAGGCAATACAAGTGTTGCACCAGCTTAACTGATTTGAAGGATGTGTCTAAATTTAGCTAAACCAGTGGAAATTTTTTTACAAACATACAAGTGTGGTACCATGAAGCAGGAAATGAAGGTCACCTTAAACTGGTTGTGTGCAAACCCCTCTAGTAATCTCAGGGAAGCTTGCACTGAGGATTGCTGGTACAGTAACTGACTTCTTAAACATGTTTGTTCCCATATCCTAAGCACAGATCTGTTAAGTCTTGTTTCCATATCCTATGTAGCAGATCTGTTAAGTCTTGCCAGTTGTCCTTTCTGTGTGTTCTGTGTGGTTAGTCTGTTTAATCCTTGTTATTTTGCTTCCCAGAGATACTAATACTGCAGATTTTATCGAGGTGGTGTTCTGTGTGCCCAAGCATGTTATGATTTTTTTTCATTTACTTGTTAAAGGGTCTCATGAATCAGTGGAAAGCAGAGCCAGTGAGAAAGACTGAGTGAGAAAGCAGGTTACTGGTTAATGTTTTCCTAAGCATAGGTATTACAATATGATTCAGAAAAAAAGTCAGGCAAACTGTATTCCCCAGGAAGTCAGAATGCACAAAGTAATTTCAGAAACTTTTTTTTTTTTAACAGCACTAGTCTCTAAATTATAAAGTCTAAAATTCTATTCAGAATTTATAGTTAGTTAATTTCTACATTCGACTTCCAATTTTACACCAGTATCCTTTTTTCTATTAGCAGACAGTTTTGACAGATGAATACATGAAACAGATGAGGCTTGGACTGTGAGCTATAGGTACGTCTGGGATTGTAAGTTTGATACTAAATCCAACTGAAATTTGTTCCAAGATTTGTCAAAGGAACTTTCTCCTTAACTTTTAATTTACAGTCTGCCTTGCCAGGCACAGTTGCAATTCATTAAGATCTACTGGGTTAACAATCCAGTTCATTAATTTCCATAGCACATGTTGCTTTTTATTTCTTCCTCCATGAACTGCTTGGCCAGTTGCTTTCCTGTTTTTAAGATGGGATCCCAGTGTTGGGATCCCAGTGATGGCAATACGTGCTGTGTCACTGTGTTTCCTACAAGCTGATGTGCATTACAACCTTCTCAGTTCTCTTTGTCCAGACTTGCTGGCTGCAGCGTGTCCAAGATCAGTTAATTAAACTTTTCTGCACTAAAAGCATATCTTCATTTTGTTGTAATCATTGCTGGAATTAAAATGGAATTGAAGTACTGATTAAAGATGAGTTGATACTAATAAAGCAGTTTAATTGTGATTGAATTCTCTTGTCCTTTCCTTAATATTGAGATGCTGCATGACTTCATTTGAATAGGATGTTTGATTTTTTGCCCCTCCAGTTTGTTATGATTATGTAAGAGCGAGGTTTTTTTACGTTTTCCATTTTGGTCTCCCTTTGAGAGGGTTAATGCTTTTCAGATACAATATTTAATGTTAGTCTTTATGATCCTAGGGCTGTTTTAACTGTTAAAACATGTTAGAATGGATAGAATAATAGGAATGGTGCTTGGGAGGGCTCTCTGTAGGATCTCTGTCAGGCTAAACCTGGTCCAGCCTCCCGTTTGAAGTGGGATTATTACCAACACTAGATCAGGTGATCTTGGCTGCGTTTGCTGAATGCTTGAATCCTCATTCAGCCTCTTTGTTCAACTCCCCATGTGACCTAATCCTGATTTGTGTCTCAGGATATTTATTTTTGAGGTTCAGAACTAAAGCAATTTGAGAATTAACATTGCAATTATACTATCTCAGTGATACTATATATGAGAGAAATTCCTTTCCTATGGGAATAAAACTCACTTTGATTTTCAGTTGTTTGTGCTCATAAATCACATGTATATAAAAAATATCTGGCATTTTTTTTAAGTTGCCCTAACTGCAGTCTTCCCCAAACTTATTATACTTTAAGAATATTGGAATATTTGTCAGGAATACTATTCTCAGCAATGAATCAGAGTGTGTAGGTAATGAACTGTAATGGCTGAAATTATTCTGAAAAGCTGATGGCAAATCACAGATCTGTAAGGATGAGGTGATTGTATCCAGATGATGTGAAGAATTTAAAGACTCTGCCAGCCCACCAAGCTACTGTATTTCCTTGTTTAATATCTGTCCTAGAATTTGAGTGAAAGATAACACCTGGTTTCAAGCAAAACAAAGCATGAAATCCTCCAGAATTTTTCTCAGCTACAACTACACCTGAATGTCCTTATTTAAAAACACAGTGACAAGCCATATGCTTCAGTCTTGGGAAAGAATTAGGCTCACATGGTTGAGGGTAGTGTAAACAGCCATTTATATGGTGCTATAGTTTGTGATTATAGCTATAGAGTATCATAGAATGGTTTGGGTTGGAAGGGACCTTAAAGACCATCTCATTCTAATCCCTGCCATGGGCAGCGACACCTTCCACTAGACCAGATTGCTCAAAGCCCCGTCCAGCCTGGGCTTGAACACCTCCAGGGATGAGTCATCCACAACTTCTCTGGGCAACCTGTTCCAGTGCCTCACCACCCTAATATCCAATCTAAACCTACCCTCTTTCAGCTTGAAGCCGTTCCCCCTTGTCCTATTACTACTACGGGCCCTTGTAAAAAGTCTCTCTCCCATCTTTCTTGTGGACCTGCTTTAGGTACTGGAGGGCTGCAATTACATCACCCAAAGCCTTCTCTTCTCCAGGCTGAATGATCCCAAATAGCAACTGCTATCTCTGCTACAGTCCAGTGAAAGACTTAAGCACTCCCTACAGCCTGAAGCCTGGATGGCTGCATTGTGTTTTGGGAGCTCTCTCGTGGTCGCCACATCCTTTCAGTGAGCTGAGTAGATACCATACCTGAGCTCCTGGCTGCCCCTATGCAGTTACCTTTTCAGCTGTTTAGTCTCAGAGTTACCTGGCAAGTGTAGTAGTGGCTCATCTCTTCCTAACTTCCCAAAAAGCTGTTGAAGGATAAAATGACACAGCTCTGGTGCGTGTTAATCATAATTACAGTGCTGGAGTGTTGTTTCATAAAATTCATCAGAAGTTGTAATTTTCCATAGTTTTCCTGTTTATATATGCTTTTGGTTCTTGGAGATTGGAATATACCTCCCACTCTACCATTTGTTCAGCTTTCACAGATTTGTTTGAGATCTGAATGGCCTCGTGTTGTACTGCCACCAAGCTAGTGTGGAATGTGCAGTGCGTGGGGTCTCACGGTTTCTTTCTCCTTGATTCTTCTCCAGGGCTCCCTCAAATACCACATTGCCTTATGAGCAGATGCAGGAGAGGGAAGTCCCAGGGGTTTCTGCTTGCTCATCAGGACTTGCAGGGAATTTGGATCTGTTTTGTACTGCATCACTCGATTGCGCAGCATGTAGAAAGAAACATCCATTGATTTGATTACTATGAGAATTGTCTTTTACTAGGGAAGAAATAATTTATCATTCTTCACACCTTCTCAGTATTCTGTCTGTGACAGACTGAACTTTGCCTTTTTGCTGCTTTACCCTATCAGTAATTAGCATCGTCCTTAGAAACTACTAAAGGTTTCAGTCTCCCAACCTCTTCATTCGGACATAGATCTCTTCATTTGCTCATAGGCAGAACTTGCATCTATCCAAGATCCACACAGACCTGCCAATACTCTTCCGCTTCTGAAAAGAGCATCATCCCACGCTGGGCTTTGGGTTAACCACTGAGAAATGGGTCTGAATTATTTCGCAAAATATCACCCAAAGCAAGAAGAACAAGGACTGTAATGTACACAGTATGGAATGGAAAGCTTAGTGTCACCATTGTGGTGATTGTGAGTTTGCGTGCAGGCTTCTTAGCAGAGCCCTGCATGTGAAATCACAGGGATCTCCAGCCCTACCAGCACAACCAGATTTGAGGACATTTTGTATTTGTCTGGATCAGGTCCTGAGCAAAAAGGTCTTATGTACATCTATAAACTCATGGAGATCATTCTTTTGAGTTAGAAAACACACAATGCTGTACAAATGTGAAGTTTTATAGTGATTTTGAGTGTTTCTAGAAATAAACAAAAGCAGACAAATCTCTCTGATTTATTGTGGAAATGGAAAGCAGCAGAGTGTCAATGATTGGATACAAAAAAACGTACACTGAAAGGTTAAAAGCCAAAAAAAATGTGTATGTAAATATGTTTAATGAGTACAGTTGTTGATAGCAAACACTGACTGTATATGACATATCCTGTACTTACAGAGTACATCTATATACACATTTATATAAGACTGAAAAGGCACTAGAGTTTCCCAAGTAAAACACAAGTAAATTAACAGTGTAAATCTGAATACTGAGGTTGGGGAATCTGGTTAGGGAGTTGTGCTGCAAGGGAAACTTTGAAAAAAATCACATGGTAAGTCAGAAACAAGGTTCCCACTGAAAGCCAGGGAATCCAGAAGTCTGGCTCCCATTTGTATCTTCAGAATCTCCCTTAATATACTGATCAGGTGCCAAATAATGTATGTAGGATGAGATTAATGAGTCTCTAAAGGAATGTACAGTACTGCAGCAAACTACATAACATTAAGCTTCTTATGAAGCTGAAGAGCTTACTATAAAATCTGGCACTCCTGTTCGTGCTATTCTTAAATTGTAGAAATAAATGAGTTCTTAAAATACTGAGAATCTAAATACATTCCTGTGCAAGTAGTGCCCAAGAAATCTTATAGTTACTGGTCGTGGAGGGTGCCATCAGAATAAGGGAGGGTGGGCAAACCCAGTGGCCAGCCTTTCACCTGCTTTTGCCAGAGTGACCTTTCCCCTTTCATTTGATTGAAATGCTTATGGTTTAAAAAAAAAAAAAAAAGGTTTTTTTTTTAATCTAGTGGAAAAACTAATAGGAGAATGATATAAAGGGAACTTGATAAAATAAAGCTATGACAGTTTATGTATAGGAAAAAAGCAACTCTGTAGAAATGAGTAGTAAAATCTTATGGATGGGTGTGTCTCTTAATGATTTTTAGCTTTTGTGATTTTACTGCCTTACCTGTGGGGTATGAGCTATAAGTGCGAGATGAGTGTAGGTAGTTTTTCTGGTCATGGTTTTAGCAGTTGTAAGAAATGCTGAGTATGTTTGCATGACATTTATTTACATCAGAAGTGAAAACAACAACCAGCAGTGTTGAAACAACTGCAATGTCTGTGTCACGCGCCTGATGGCAGTGGCAGAACAGGCAGGCCACGGCAGATGTCATATAAGAAGATGCACTCTCCTTTTGGAGTCACAACTGCTTTGGTCTGATACTCAGAGCAGCTCCACCTGTAAAAGGCAACAGCGTTTGCTGTGCAGGGAATATTTCTGCAATTGGGTGCAAACTGCATCTCTAACTGAGCTGCTGTCCTATGGTGGAAGCTTTTTCTTACTTAATTCCAGAGTTTTTGGCATAGTATCTCTAGTAACTCAATACTGCTTTGTCAGCTGTTGAGCACCTTTCTGTTATGCTTTTACTAAGAACAGATGAACTTAGCTTTTCCAACAAGCAAGTACAATTACTGGTAGCTTTACAGGCTGCAACAGGTTCTCAGGCTGTACAGACTGGTAATGCTCAGGCTACCTCAGAGGAGAGAGGCTTTTCTTGGAGTAGTTTGGAAGGTTCTTTGTAGACACGATTGTCTTCACTGGATCATTTTGTAGAGAAATCTGTTTCCCCTCCCAGGAAACTCAAGAGCAAAGCTTCCAGTGACCCAAATAAGCACATCCAAGGACAGCTCCTGTGTTTCCCAGAGGATTTGGTTAGCATTGCAGAAGTCTGTGTTTTGTTCATCCCTTATTAAATTAAATGTGCATTGCAAGTCATATTCTAAAAAGTCAGTCAAAACAGTTTGGAAATATTTCCTTGTTTTAAATACAATCAAGACAAAGCACAAATCTGAAAGTATTCCTACTTGGACCTGTCATTGCAGTACTGTTAATGCAGCATGCATTAAGCTATGGATATTTTGTGTTTGTAATTACCATTTCTGACCTCGTCCTGCAAACATGCAAGTATTTGCAATTCTTTTATTTATTGGTATCAAACGTGGTAAGCCTGCTGAGTTGAGAGATGTATGCATGCACTCAGGTACTCAGAGAATGAGGATTTCAGGGGCACAAAATGAAGGATGCACCATATATAAGCAACTGGCAATTATAGTCACTTGTTAAAATAGTTTACAGTGGCCTGTGAGGCACAAGAAGGAACATAGCACAACTTCAAATAAGTATAAAATTTTAGATTGTATATCCTATATTTTGCTGAAATGTGAAACTTGC